GGGAATAAATAGTCGATTTTGTGTTTTGCAGTGAAGAAAATGTTTGGAAGCTCTGCGAGTACATCAAGAGTCAGACTCGATACCCTTTGGAGGAATTTTATGCTGTTTTCATATCCAACGACAGGAGGATGGTGAGTCCGTGGGATGAGATCCGGGAGGCTCAGGCCTTCGCTCTGCAGCCCAGAATGGGTGAGACATGGTCCCAGCGTTCCTAACCACAGCCCAGTGTGGGTTAAAGCCTGGGATAAATGACTGGGTCCCAAACCGGATCACAATCAAGTTTTGCAATTTATTAAGCGAATATAGGCAAGCAAAGGGCGCTGGGTGCGCGGAGGGGTCTCTGCACCACCAACACACACCCAGCGCCGTTTGCTTGCCCATATTTGCTTAATAAATTGTAAAATTTGATTGTGATCCTGTTTGGGACTCAGTCATTTATCACAAGCCTTTAGCCCAACCTGTGAGTGAGACAGTCCAAACCCATCCTGTAGCTCACCTACTGAAACACTACCGTTGTACCGTTTCTCACTGTATTTATTATTCTTTTACAACAGATTCAGAAATAGCCGGAATATGGTGCTCATTTATACCGTACAGAGGTGTGCAAACCACACCATGAGAGATCTTTTAATTACCTGCTGCATCCAGGACAGTGGGAAGAGGCACGATGTCCCTGTGAGCTGTGGGGGTAATTATTCCCTGTAATCTGTCAGTTTAGAAGAATGGCTATATTCCTTGTGTCTCAGAACTGCTAAGGTTGGAAAAGACCTCTAAGGTTATCAAGTCCAACTCTTAACCCAGGACCACTGTGTTCACCACTGAACCATATCCCCAAGTGTTACAGCCACGTTCTTTTTGGACCCTCCCAGGGATGGTGATTCTACCTCTTCTCTGGACAGCCTATTGTAATGTGGCACAGAATAGTGTCTCTGACTTCATGCTCCTGAGACAGAAACTAGAGAAACATTTCTGACTGCAGCACAGATGTAAGATGAGGAAGTTGGTAGGTTAGCAGAGAACTAACCAATTTACCTGAAATTCAGCTGTATTAATTTGAAATGTTTTGTTCAATTCAGATTCACTTATAACTTTCAGATTCCCCTCTGGAAGCAGAAATCTGGACATGGAGATGAGCCTGTTGTCTGGGTAAGGAATTAATTTCTCTCTCTCAGTAATTTCAAGTGCATGCCTCTGTAGTTGGTAGCTTCAAGATCAGACCTGGGCAGTGTCAGCTCTCTTTACTGTAATGAACTGTTCCATCTGAACATAACACTTTTGTGCTCTGAGGGTGGTGGAGCACTGGAGCAGGTTGCCCAGAGAGGTTGTGGAGTCTCTATCCTTGGAGATGTTTAGGAGCTGTCTGGACACAGTCCTGGGCAGCTGGCTCTAGGTGTGCCTGCTTGAGCAGCAGGTTGGACCTGATGTCCTCCTGAAGTCCCAACCTCAACCGTTGTACTGTTTCTTACTATATTTATTATTCTTTTACAACAGATTTATAAATAGCCTAAATGTGGTGCTCATTTATACCATCCCTTGTAAATTAACAGCAAGTCGGTCAGTAAAATCTACCAGTGACAAGCCTTAACATTGATGGGGTTGTACATAAGAGATTTGTGAAAATAGTTATCTGGGTGTCGAGGCTGCCAACTTTGTAAAGTTTTAAGTAGATGGCTGTACTTGACAGAAGTAGATGGATGAAAGTATTTATGTAGGCCTGCCAGAGGGTAGAAAAGTACAAGCAATATATGTGTTAAGGTGTCAGAAATTAACCTGACCCATAAACAGTGGCTTTGGAGCATCATTTGATCAATTAATGTAGTTCAGTAATTGCTGCTATAGAATTCCTTGCTATCATTAGAATCTTTCAGTTATCTGGCCTGGGAAAAACTGTATTTCTTGTTGTAATTTCTGTTACTAAAACTGTGAAATAATCTGCAGACTTCTGAAGTTCTCTGATTTCTGAATCATTCATTATCTCCCAAAACATTGGTATCTTTGCAGTACAAAAAAAAAAAAAAGGTTTAATTTTAAAAAAATCCAGGTGTTATAGAGATGACCTGAAAAGGAATAGGAGAGTCAGGAAAGGCCACTGCAGAATGTGGATGTCTCATAAAAATCCATGGATTGAAAGATGTCTTAGCTTTGATGTTTCAGTGGATCATAGGATGTGTGAAGCTTGTAGTTATTTTTTCTTATGCTCTGTGATAGGTTCTTGTTGTATATGTGTATATATATACACACACTGTTGGATACAGCTGTATATGTGCATTGGTCTGGTGAAGTAGCCTGCCCAAATCTTTTTCATTCAAATACCTTTGTGGTTTTGATATTAAAGTGTCAAAAGACAGTGCTCCAAACTCTTTGTGTGAGTGGATTAAATGTAAACTTTAGCAAGCTGTTAACAGCTACCTTCAATTTCATTTTGAAAAGCAGCAGTGTACATACCTGACACCTAACATAAGGAACTACAGTGTGCCCAGACCTCCACCTATGTTTCTTGCAAGTCGAGGAATAAAACTGCACCTCATAAATCAAATGTCAAGACAAAAGAGTTATCTTGAAACAGTGTGATAGAGTACCCATAGGTGTTTTTTCTCAGCTTCAATAGCTGCTAAATGAATTTGTCTTACTCCTGTGGTCCTCTTGATCTGGACTGTTGCTATTTTTTTGGTGGCATGTTGGTTTTTCAGGCAGCTGAACACTCAGCACTCAAATTCGCAGACTCTGTTTCTGCAACAGGCACAAAATCTTATTAGACCACTAGGTAACTTTAATGTTAAGCTATCACCATATCTCATTCTGAGCTTGTATTTAGGATTGAGTTTAAGACAAAAACTCCTTTCCCACTCAACTTTTGTGGTTTGGTGTGGAACACGAAAGACTTCCTGTTTTCTTAGAAGCAGTGTGCACTTTAGTTTAGCTTTCTAGGCTTAAATCAAAGGAGGCCCCAAAGGAGTGGGAAGAGTACCAAGGTGTTGGGAAGGGTGAAAGTTCCGCGCGGGGAAGCAAGCGGCCGACTCAGTGTGAATGATAAAGCAAGCTCCAACTTTATTGTCCGACAGGCTCTTTCTTATACAGTGCAGGACAGGCATATAACTATCAATCATTTATAATTGGCTAAGCTCTAAAGATAGCATTCAGGTACCCTCCCTACTTGCAGTTACAGCTGTGAGGATTATCTCTTACTTTCTCAGGCTTGGGTGCATTCCTAGCTGTTTCTCTCAAACTTGTTTGTCTCACTCTCAAGGACAACTTGCCCCTACCATCTGCCAAGCTGAGTTACTCCCTATCTATATATAAGTTACTATCTCCAGAGCCTTGCTTGTACACTGTGTTCCCAGGGGACTGTGTCCTTGCTCTTTTTAGCCTTCCCCAGGTGTATTCCCAGGATTATGTCCCCGCTCTTTTAGCCATTCTCCAACACCAAGTTTTCTGGAAAAGCACCTTGGGTGTACAGGCGTTAGGAAATCTCTCCTGGTGCCAAAAATGTTACAGGGTTAGTATTCAGTGAAAGAAAGGAGGCTTTAAAAAAAAGGATTTGAACTTCTCCTCTTAGGAAGCACATTTTTTCCACTCCCTTTCCCAGATTCTTATTAATTGCTGTTTAACTGATGGTAATTACCCTTCCTCCCAGGACTACCATGTTATTCTACTTCATGTTTCCAGTGGGGAGCAGAACTTCATTTATGATCTTGACACAGTGTTGCCATTCCCATGTCCTTTTGATGTGTACAGTGTGGAGGCCTTTAGGCTGGATGACAGCCTTCGTCCGGAATTTCACAGGTGATGACATAAGATATAAAGACTGTAATGTTATTTCATTAAATCAGACTTGAAGTTTTCTTTGTTGATTGTTGATGCATAGTGACAGAGGGTTTTTTTGCTATACTTCAGTAAAATAAGTGCATTGTGTTATTTTTCTAAAGCTCTTTACCTTAGTCATCAAAAGCCCTTTTCTTTCCTACTGTGGTTTCTTGTTAGCTGCTTGGCACAATATTGCTGATTTGTGCATTTAGTGACATTAATGCTCCTTGATGAGAGGGAAGTGCCCTTGTTCTGAGTGACTAATGCAGTATTGTATACACACATCTTTTGACACAATTTTGCATTTTTCTTAGAAAAATCAGAATGATTCGAGCGGATCTGTACTTGAAGACATTTGCTTCAGACAGATCTCATATGAAGGATGCAGATGGGAAATGGCAGAAACCTCCTCCTTCATACCCCTGCATTGAAACTGCAGGTAAGCTCCCAGAACTCCTTCCTCCTGCTTACAGTGTTGAATGACATAGTCCAGGATGCACATGGAAAATAAATGTATTTCCATAACATGTGTCAGCTAGCTTATTATTTTGTATGGAAATAAAATAGGGCTATGAAGTATTTGGCACTCCCTTTTCTGAACACGTAGTCTAACATACTTCCTGGCATTCACTGTTATCATACATTAAGTACTGATCTTTGTAAACTGAGCAGAGAGTGAGAGTTAGGTAATACTGTTCTTTCAGTACAGCAGGGATCTGAAGCAAGGAGGCCAAATAACTTGCTGAGGGGTCACAAGGTGAATTTTTAACGCACTGATTATACCACTCTCTAGCTCTAACAGTTCCATTCTATCAGAGCAGACTGTGTTGGCTGGAGGGAGTTTTTAGGCTCCGCTCAGTGTGATGGGTTTGCCTGCACAACATATTTGAGGCTTCTCTACCAGGTGAATGGACCCAAAGATGGCTTCATGCATGCTGGCAGGGCTTTCCCTAAGCCTTAAGCCTCTTTTAAGTGCTGGTCTAGCTAATATTCTCTGAGCCAGGCAGAGAGAGAGGTAAAGACTTGCCATCTATTCTATAGAGCTGCTTAAACCATTCTTATCACACAGCTCTTCAGCTTATTCTGATCACGTTTGGCAAGCTGACTAACATTTGCTACGTGTTTGTTTGTTCTCTCATTTTCTTCCAAGAACGAAGGAGTTTTCATGTTACTGCTCTGCATGTTTGGTTTTGCTGGTTTCTTAATAATGCAGTACTGCTGTGTGTTTATGTTAGAGAAGGCAGGGTCAAAGAAATACGTTTCATGTTTAGGTCCAAGTATATTGCTGTGAAGTTAATTCTTAGTACTTGCTTTAGCTTCTAAGGAAACTTAGTATTTCACATAAGAGTAGAAATGAATTCTAAGAGTGGGCAGGAGCACAGACCTAATCTTCATTCTAAAGCTTGAAGTGTTTTCCAGTCATGAGCTGCCTTAAATTCTGTCTTGGTTCTTATCTTCAGTAGAGTTTTATACAAAGGTAGCATAAGGGAATGTAGAATGCCTGAACTACAGTGGATGGTTCACCATTAGCTGGAGCCTCCTTGGTGCTGAGAACTTTTTGCCTGTGGAAACCTGGTTGTGATTGCTGAAAGCAAGCAAAAGAGTGAGGAATATGAGGACAGACCAGGGAAGTGAACAAGTTCTACTCAAAAGAGTAAAGACATTACTTGTGGATAGTAAGTTACAGAATTACTCAAACAGTTGCAGATGTGTATATGCACTTCTAGCTGGGGTGAATGACTCCAGAGCTGCAAACCCTGTAACTCTCCCCATACTTGCTTGGCTGAGCTTTACCTCACTGATGAGCAGCAGCCCCAGGTCTCAGACAACATCCAGATTGTCTCTGTGATGCTGATAGATAAAGATGCACAGCTTTTCCTTCCTTTTGTGCTTTAGTTCGTTGCTCTGTATCTTGCTATGCTGAAAGAAACATCCACAGGTCATCAGTCCAACATCTGCTCAAAACAGGAATTCCTTAGGGCTCTGTCCAGTCTACTCTTGAACACCTCCAGGGATGGCGATTGCACCACCTTTCTGGGCAGTCTGTTCCAATATTTGACAACTGTCACGATAAGCAAAAAATAAATAAAAAAATGTTAGTTTGTAATCTGAACTTCCTGTGTTCTGGTTTGCTTGTTTTCATTTCTTATCCTATTGCCAGGCTCCTCCAAGAAGGCTCTGGCTCCATCTTCTTTGTGTCCAATGATTAGGTAACTGTAGGCAGCAGTAATATCTCCCCTTTGTCTTCTGTTTTTAAGACTGAACAGATCCAGTTCTCTCAGCCTTTCCTTGAATGTAATGTCCTGTCCCAAACAACTTGATGTTCCTCTTCTGGGCTCACTCCAGTATTGTCCATGTTTGGGTTTGTACTGAGGAGCTCCAAATGGACGCTGTAATCCAGTTCTGTGCTGATGTGCTCTGGACTCTGCTCAGTTGGCTGAAAGAAACTTGTTACTCTGCACCTGCTGAAGATGGAAAGTCATTCATTAGGGAGCTTCAAGGTCTGGGTCAGAACAGGAACAGATTGTCTAAGATCTAGGATATTTAGATCAAGTTGTGTTTCATTTAGTAACAGTTCCTCCAGCTTTATTTTTTTGTCTTCCCTGTATTCACTGGAGATACCTTATAATGATGTGTGCTTCGATGTGCACAGTGCTCTAAGTCACCAGGAGCCTGGGTGTAACTGTTGTGGAACAAGCATGTGCTTTAACTTTTAGCTGAAACAAAGTCCTGGACTTCAGTGATGCAGATCTGTCGATGAGGCCATGTCCTGCAGGCCAAGGTACAGGTTTAGAAAGCACTGTTGTCAACAAGTGGAACTAATAATTCTCTTTCTTTAGAGACTGGTAAAATAATGTCTCAGCAGAGTTTTATCAGGCATAAAAGGGCCTTATTTTTAACTTGATGGAACACTGGGTGGCAGACCTTCTGTTATCATAAAGGAGCCTGAGGTATTAATGTTCATGTCCCTGCCAAATTTCATAGCAGATGACTGTTTTCTCCCTGCTGTTTCACTTAGATAGAGTACTCTGCTTTCCATGTTGATTTGTGTTTGCATAAGATTAAATTGCTCACATGTTTCATGTTAGAGGTGACTGCAATTTAACGCCTGACAGAACTGACCCCATATTGTTTTAATATCAATTTATTTGTGAGGCACATCTGTGTCAGTGGGGTGGTTTGTTTTTTTGCTTTCATTTAGAGTAGCCAAATTCCTAAGCTCATGAGAAGATGTAAGGTTTTTATATTACTTCTGTTTCCTAGACATCTTCTTTCCTAGGCGTCTTGATGTGTATGGCAGTTTGACCCTGGCTGAATGCCAGGTGCCCACCAAAGTCACACATCATTCCCCTACTTAGCTGGACAAGAGAGAGAAAGTATAAGGAAAGCTCATGAGCTGAGATAAGGACAGGGAGAGATCACAAACCGATTAGCATCATGAGAAAACCAGACTTGACTTGGGGAAATTAGTTGAATTTACTACCAATCAAAACCAGAGCAGGATAATGAGAAGTAAAACAAATCCTAAAAACACCTTTTCCCTCCACCCCTCCCTCCTTCCTGGGCTTAACTTTATTTCCAATTCTCTACCTCTTTCCTCCCTGCTCAGCGTAAAGCGACAGGGAATGGGGGCTGTGGCCAGTTCATCATGCATTGTTTCTGCCACTGCTTCCTCCTTGGAAAGAGGAGTCCTTTCCCTGCTCCAGCATGGACTCCCTCCCACAGGAGACAGTCTTCCACGAACTTCTCCAACGTGAGTCCTTCCCACAGTTTCTAGTTCTTCATCACCTGCTCCGGTGTGGTATCTTTTCCACAGGGTGCAGTCCTTCAGGAACAGCCTGCTCCAATGTGGGTTCCCCCGTGGGGTCAGGAGTCCTACCAGGAAAGCTGCTTTAGCATGGGTTCCCCCTCCATGGGTCTGCAGCTCCCTGCCAGGAGCCTGCTCCAGCATGGGCTTCTCATGGGGTCACAGGCTCCTTTCAGGCATCCACCTGCCCAGTTGTGGGTCTCCTCCATGGGCTGCAGGTGGATCTCTGCTGTCAGTGCTTGGAGCACCTCATCTGCCTCCTTCTCTACTGACTCTGGTGTCTGCTTGGTTGTTTCTCGCACATATTCTCACTCCTCTCTGGCTGCAATTACTTCTGTGCAATAACTTTGTTTCAGTCTTAAATCTGTTATCACAGTGGCATTACTACCCCCAGTGATTGGCTCGGCCTTGGCCTTGGTCTTGGTCCATCCTGGAGCCACTGGCATTGGTTCTGTTGGACATGGGGGAGCTGTAGCACCCCCACTGTCAAAACCATTTGTAATTGAATTGAGCAATCTCTATCGGTAACCAATTAAGCATTTTTTTTCCTTCTACTAACTCAAAGGGACTAAATCTAAAACTGTATTTGTCCTGGTCATGGGGTTACAAAGTAAACCCTCTAAAGTAAACTTATATTGAGCTATAAATTCTACTCCACGTTTTAAAAAATGGAATCTGGAAAAAGGTGATTTTTGAAAGCATTTTTTTAAAAGACAAACAACACCAGTCCAATCAGTTAAACAAAAAAACCACAACAAACCCCTGAAACCTGTGTATCTGATCAGAATGCACATGCTAAGCATTAGCCTGTTGGAACTGGCTCTGCTCTAGCTGTTTTCCAGAGTTAGGCCTCTGTGTCTCTTACTGGCATTTCTCTGGCCTCTGTTCTGCTCTGCTGCCGTGTGTGCTGGGAGAAGCTGGTTAACCTAATTGGGACCCAGCCCTGCCCTCAAAGCATCTTGGCTGGACTAAACATACCTGAGCTGCAGCAGATTTGGCTGGTGCCACCTGGCTGCCAGTGGCCCCCGTTGAAAGAAAACAGGGTATTTTGTTCAGATAATAAAAATTAAGATGATGTGATCTGGTGCACAGATTCATGATTCTAGGGCTGGTGAGCCCAGCCTGGGGTTTTCTTCTAGGTCTTCTTTCCACGAATTAATGAGGTCTGATTCTGCTTAGTTTACAAAAGCTGATGAGATCAGCCCTGCATACTGCAAGGCTGTGTTAAATACAGCTTGCACAGTGCATGTCAAAATCACTCAGAACAGATGGTTAAGTGGCTTACGTGCAGCTGTTAGCACTAGCTCTGACACTGAAAAGCATTGGTTTAGATTTCAGTTCTCCCAAGGTGTTTGGTGCCACACTCACAGGGTTAATTTGTAAAGGCTTTTTGTTCTTTTTATTGTAATTAAAATCCCTGGTAGTCAATAATGATGGGGTTTTACTTGGGTTGTGTTTTTTTCTGTTTTGAAGAGCATGAATGGGACAGCTGAGAAATTCTGAAGGCAGATATTACACATCTGTGTAACAAGCAAGCTGCTAGACAGAGGCCAGGCAGATGTCTGCAGTTGCTTTCTGTATCTCCTCTCTGAGGTGGTGAAAGGATCCTAGTGAAAGTGAAAAGGAAAGCACTGATATGGATAGATGTAGCTCCTGTGCATTGCATGGGAACCTTCTCCTCCTCTCATTTGAAAATAAAACTCTGGACTGTCAAGTTAGGTCCTTACTTCATAAGCTTTTGTGGGAACAATGAATCAAGTCAGATACAGGCAATAAAGATCCAACTAAGGAGACAAGTATTTGAATTCCCTCAGTGGCTTATTGAAATTACACCACTCTCTGTGAAAGGTAATGTAGAGTGAGCTGTGTTTTACACCGAGGTCAAGCAGGATGGTTATATCTCAGCTGTGGGTCCAGCACTCTGCGGCTGAGTATGGGAAGAATCTTTCTTCCTTGAAGTCTTTCTGACCTATCTACCTGCTCAGACAAGGGAAGGGGATCTGAAGAGAACTTCAGACACCTTCACAAGTCAGGGAAGAGCCCAACTTTCTGAGTATTTTAAGTGCCTCCAAGGTTAGGCATCAGCAGAACTGTTCCTGGAGGCTTTGTTCCAGACTTCCTTGCTTCCAGCAGCCCTTCAGCAGCTGTCATTACACCGAGTTAGTCCAAGGTCCATGAGCCAAGCTGAGGCTTGGCTGAAATGTTGCTTTCTAACTGCTGTTGGCAGAAGCCACAAGTATCCTGGCTAACAATGCCACATGATAGTGCATGGCCTTGTATTTTGCCCCTGCTCAGGATAAAAGTGTCAGACTTGGTTAAAAAAAACTGAAATTATGCAGGAATCCCAGAATGTGTCAGAGAGGTGTCACTGTGTGTGTGTGTGTGAGACAAAATGTGTTTGGTCCAAGAGGAAGATGAGCTCTGAGCATGTACAAATGCCAGCTAGTCTAATAGCCACAGCACCTGAGGAGGACTGCAAGTGTAATGTAAATCCTAAAAAAAAAATCAATTCTGCTGCTCTTGGCCTTGTACAAATGTCATGTATAGACAAAGCTTGTTTCTTGCTCTTGTGGAGAAATCCTGTTGGTTTGTCAACTGTGGCATCCAGATGTGTCTTTTGTAAATTCTGGTGTTTGTTGCTCTTCATCTGCTTTGTGAAGAGAACTTCGTGGTGGTCTCATGTTTTTTTTGCCGAGCTGTTTCTTAAGGCTGTGAGATCCAACACGGCACGCACGGCGTTCAGACAGAGCCTATGAGAAAGGAGCGGCATAGAGAGACTGTTATTACACGAATAAAACGGGAGAGGTCTCACTAAATTGTTCCCTATGAATAGTTCCCATGCTGCTCCAGTGCCATCTACGGACTGGTTTTTAGGTCGTCGCTCCTCGCAGGAATGTACTTGTTTGCTTTGGTAAAACAGTTTTTCCTTTCATTAAACTTCTCTGATGGACTGCGTTATGGTCTGCCACAATCATTCCGAATTTCAGAGACTATTTCACACTAACAGCTGCTGTGTTTGTAACTCCTGGAACAATCCCCTTTGAACTGCTTGGCCATTCACAGAACAGTTTGAAGAAGTTATTCTACTATGCTCAGTACACATAAAGCAGGGAATTATTTATTTGTTTGTTCTTAAATTACATTAAGAATCATGTTAATTTTAAAACAGAGGCATCTGGGAGGAAAAGACATGTTTGAAAAGTTCCAGTTTGGAACTGGAAAACAGGCTTGCCAGCCTAGCAGCAAGCAAGAGCTGTTACCCACTACTATTTGTTCTTGAGCTGCAACAGCAAATTGCCTTGCTTGTGCTATTTTAAATTCCTGCATAGTCAAGCAGAAATTGTCCCTGTTCTGCCAGACTTACTCCAGCAGTAGGACCATGCTTGGCTGGACATAAGGATTTTTCCATGTGTAGAGCTTAAACAGGTTAACAAGAAAAGATTTAGCAACCAGACCTCAGAGTGGGTGAGAGTTGGGAACTAGACAAATCACAGAGCCATGCTGTAGGGTAGATGTGCAAACAGAGGCCTTTGGAGGCTGGATTATGGCTGGGACTCCTGGGTCTGGGATTCCTGAACATCATCTTCCCTTCCTTGCTTATAATGTTCATAATGCTAAGCCTAATTACACAAGGTTTTTGCAACTGAAGCAAATTCCATTCATGATTTTATAATTATTCATTAAAGCCTCCTCTTGTTTGGTTTTTAATCCTTAAATGCACACGTGAATCATCCATGTTAAAAAAATACTTAATACAGAGAAAAAGCTGTGAGCTCTAAATCTGTAAAGTAAAGCTCTAGCAGTGGCTTTACCACTCTGTTCCTTAGATTCATTCTCTTCCAGTTTTCTTTTAATTGGCATTTAAAAAGATAGTTTGCACACATCATCAGTGAGAACAATGAGTGAGACCATCAGTGAGAACAAGGAGCCCATGGATGTTTGTAGCCAGAGCTGATTCCCTGATCAATATGGTTCTGAGTCAGCAAAGCTTGTACCAGGCCAGCTCCAGAAAAGGGATGTATAAGGCACCTAAACTCAAAACTGTGTACCAGCACTTCCACAGAGCTCTCTGGGATCCATGAATGGGACAGAATGGTTTCAAACTCTCCTGCAGGGGACAGAGCAGATTAATCTTCTGGCAAAGAGCAGTCATGGTTACTTTTCTCTTGAAACTATGGCAGTCAAACTTTTCCCCTTCTGACTTCATTCTGCCATTCAGGATTAACAAAAAGAAAAAAAGTGTTTTCCCCCAGCCTAGGTTTGTGCCCTTCACCTGAGCATCGCTCTAGGCCGTGGGCTGGGTTAGGTCAGACATTTCCTCCTGTCTGCATATTCAGTCCCTGCAGTGGGCTGAGGTACAGCGAGGCCTGGAGGGAAAGCAAATACTGTAATCTGGGGAGTAACAAACTCTAGGTTTGCCAAGGGGCTAATCACTTCTGAGAGACAATAAGCAACTTCCAGTTCTGACTGTGATCCAGTTCCTCTGTAGTCAGTGCAAAAGTTGACTTAGTTGACTTTGGTTCAGAACTTAAATGGGGGAATAATCTCTCCCCTGCTTTTGAGGAATCCCATTTGTGTGACTGCAGGAAGCACCTGTTGCATTACAGTTCCCTGTGCTGGTATTTGCACTCCATTTTGCTGACACTACTTGACCCTTCTAGGCTGTTGCTGTCAGGAGAAATCTTTCCCTTTCCTACACCTACTAGTCTCTAATGACTAAAGATACTTACTGATCTGGTAATGTGATTATTGCCGTGGGCAGAGAGAGGAATTGAGGCAGAGACTACATTTCAGAGACTGGAAATGTTTTTGTAGGACCATACAACTTACAGAATCTTGCTGGAATGAACAGAACTATCAAAGAGGGGTCTGGAGCATTTTGTTGATAGATTTTTACCTGTGCTACAGAAGTTGCATCAGGAAATTAAATATTCGCTTTTCTGGTCCTTTTTCAGACTCCAAGATGAACTTGGATGATTTCATCAGTATGAATCCCAAAGTGGGATGGGGCTCAGTGTTCCCCCTTCGAGACTTTGTGCATCGATTTGGCAGACAGACTGATTACAGCTATTCCTTGGAAGGACAATAAAGTGAACAAAGAAGTTCTCCCTGCCTCTGTTGCAAGTGGATGTGTTCTGGTTTGCTGCTCTTACATTGTATTTATGGTTTACATTTCTGTACATGGAATAAGTACTTGGAGAAATAGAATGCTCGGTCAGAATTACGAACTGAATAAACTCTTTTATTTTGATTATATAAGAATGAACTTGGGTTTTAATATCAAAGGCAGACATCCCACCATAAGCATATTGCTTTTCCATCTACTGTGCCCAAACTTGAAAGAGCAGTAAATAAAGATTTTGGAAAAAATATGTGCATAAAATATTGAACATTGTAGCTCAAATTGCTATATGTTGTCACATTTTAAAAGTGAGATACAGTATATTTTCTTCATGTTGTGATGTCTGTCACTTTTACAGACAGTACATCTCAGTTTACTCTCTAACTGCACCGATTAGTCCTTATTTAGCAGAAGCCTAAAGGTCAGACCCACAAGGTGAACACTGATTTAGTAGTACAATCTTGAACTCCCATGCACTGTGCAAAACCAGGTAAGTATCCAGGTCTCTGTGTGTATCCAGGTTATCCACATGCTGTATGAGGGGAGAACTAAATACCTACCATTTCAGCTAAGTGTTCAGTTGCTAGAAGATGCAGTTGCTATTTTTGCTCATGTTGGCTGTGTGTTCTCACCTGCCCCTGTCTTCTTGCACTTGGTGTTTGTCTGGCCCCATGGCAGTCTAGGGTAGGAAGCTAACCTGACAGAAAGAAGGAAAGTTTATTGGTTTTTTTTCTACCTCTTAGCTCTTTGAACTGGCCTGCCATGAGGTCAGACAGCTGCTCATGCTGGTGTAAGGAAATCAGCAGGGCCATATGGTTGGGGGGAAGGGAATGAGAAAGCCTCTCCTATCAGGGTTGCCTGCTGACTGTCCTTGCAGGGGATCCCAGGAAAGCTGTCATGCTGATTGGGGGTTTGGAGCAGTCTCACACATCTTAGAAGAGTGCTCTAAACATGGAAATACCAGAAACAAGCTAAGATGGGATATTTAATTCTACTTTACACACTAGCACATCATATAATCACAGACTGGTAGAATAATTCAGGTTGGAAGGGCCAGGTGGTCTCTAGTCCAGTCTGTTCAAATCAGGTCAGACCAGGCTGCTCAGATCTTTATCCAGTCAGACCTTGAAAACCTACTGTTATTGAGACTACAGGAAAATTTTGTGATGAACTTCAGTCCTGATGAGGAAAAGCACAGTAAAGGCTTTAAGTATTCAGGGATGATTTTATGTGTAAGTACAGAAAAATACAAAAACTTCAAAGAAACTTCTATGTATATTGCTGTTACATAGGTATTTTGTTATATACATATTCTATTACTATATCTCACATCGGTTCCAGAGAATTTATTTAGCATGTTGACAGCAGAGACAGCCAGTTGAACAACTGTGGGGTTGACTCACTTCATCCAGACATCTCTCTCTCTCTCTCTGTCATAATGATGCTGAGAAAAGCCTGGAAAAGAACTACTCCCAGACTTGTATCTCTGAGTAGCAGGTATTTGTTTATTCAGCGCTGGGCACAAGGGGGATTGCTCCCCCAAACTTGTGCAACCAGGGACAAAAACTTCACAGTTTATATACATTAAATGCTCATATATATTCATTATTTCCAGGAATGGGTGGTTATTATTATAATTAGTTCTTGGAAATCATTATCGTATACTCCTCCTCTGTCTCCTCCCTCCTGGCATCAGTCCCATGGTCCTGGTGGTCGTTTGGTGGTCGTGAAGATGAAGTGCCTCTTCATCCTCAGTACCCTTTGGACACCCTTGTTATGCAACCATTTACCCCTTTGTACAGTTTTACATGTCTTGCTGACCTTGCCTCTATCTTGAACATTTTGTTTCTTCATTCCACACTTTATATGGTCTTAGTTTTCCTTCTACTGCCAAGGTTTGAGTCTAGTTAGTTCTACTGCCTTATAGATAAGGTGCATCGTTTTGCCAACCAAGTCAAAACAATACCATTAGTGAAACTTCTTGTCTGTACTATGCAATCCTTGCTGGTTTGCTAATTAAGCTGAAATAGTGCTATTAGTAAAGTTATCCTTTATGCTTTCAGCTTTAACCGTTCAATTCCTGCTTTCAGTCTGCTTCTCTGTATCAATAAGGGCTGCTGAATACAGGAATTTACACTTTCTGTCGCCAGATGCAGCACAGCTGGTTGGCTATGCTGCTACCACACAGATTCCTTTGGTGCCAGCATGGCAGTTGTTTGGGCACTCATCTGCCTAGAGGAGAGTTGGTCTGTAGTTTCTGTCACTCTGAGCTGGTTTTGCCAGAAGACACTGAGATGCTGAAACTCAGGATTCCTGGTAAACTGGTGTGCAGTTTCCTCCGGAGAGGGGACAGCTCTGGACTTAACCAGATACACCTGTGTAAAAGGTCTGATTTGTCTGTGTTTGAATGAATGGCAGCTCTTTCTGCATGATGCTGATGTGGCAGGCATGCTTTGAGTGAGTGAAGCTGTTGTTACTTGCTCTTTTTGAGTGATGTTAAGACTGGTTGTGAGTGTGCAGAACAGCAGCAGTTTGCCTGCTCAGCTCCACTTGGTGCCAACCCACTGCTCAGGGCATTGCACACACTGCCTGGGTTAGACATAGCAGAAGTGAGAATTTAAAGATCTGTGTTTTAGATGAACTGGTCAGTCAGATGTCTCCAGGCTGTGTCAGCTCAGCAGCTTTAGATAAGTTATCAGTAGTATAATTTGTTTGCTCCTTTACCGGTTTTACCATATCTTCTTCTCACCCTCAGGACCTTTAACTTTGGGATTGATGAGTCAGACTGGTTTCATCTCATTTCAACACCAAAAGCAGCATGACAGCCCTTTCTCCATTTACCACTGACAGCTTTGCAAACAGGGCATTTATCAAGTTGTTTTACCCCATTCCAAGGCAGAGCATCCTGCTACACCTGCTCTGCTCCAGTTGGTGCCAACCCACTGCTCAGGGCATTGCACACACTGCCTGGGTTAGACATAGCAGAAGTGAGAATTTAAAGATCTGTGTTTTAGATGAACTGGTTATGTTCAGCACTTCTTACCTTTCAAGTGACTGAATCTCATACAGAGTTCCTGTGCATTGCCTAACAGACACTTTAAGTTGTTACGGAACATTAGATTCTCATCCCTCCCTACCTGAGTTTGTCATTTGATTGAAGTACTGAGCTGACATTCTCATCCAGTCTCTGGTGCCTGAAATCTGTGACACACTCCTTTCAGTGGGGGTCAGACACAAGAGTTTCCCTGCTTTAATCTAGTTTCAGCATCAATGCTGTTAAGAACAGTCACAACCATTATTCAGAATATACAAGTTTAAAAAAAAATCCATGTGAGGAGTCAGTCCTTCTTCTCTCTAATCATTCTGAACAGGTGCTTAATTTTACATGTAGCAGGGTGGGTGTTTGTGATAATAGCTTTTCTATAATTAACAACCTGTTTGTAGCTCTTGTGAAAAGTTGTCGTTCCAGAGGGATAGGTAGAAGCCAGAGAATGATTTCATTCAGTGCTGAGGATGCTGATATTGTCGTGCTGTCTCTGTAGCCCTTCAAGCCTGGTGCAGTTTCATCACCATTTCAGAACTCAGGAACACATCAAGTGCTCATTTATGGCCCCAAATACAAGGAGAAGCTACTTGGTTCACCATAATTAGCAGAAACCAGCCCTTTTCTAATGCTGATTAGTCCTGGTGTCCCATCAGAGGGACTAAGTGAATTCCCTTCACTCTTTGGTCCCTTCTCTGTCCAAGTAACCCTTTATCTTGTGTATTTTGTGGAACTTGCTGTGTTTAACCTCTCTGCTGTCACCTCATATGAAGTGAGGTGGCCCAAACAGTGTGGTTTCCCCAAGCACCACAGTAAGTTGCAGACAGAAAAGCAAAGTTTGCCATGTGCCTGCAGAAATACAGGCACACAGCTGCCACTGTAAGGCTGATGGCAAGGAGGCAGCTTCACTGCCAGACATCACTAATTATCATCTCTGTGGCCACTGATGTGTTTAAACACCTAAGATTCAAGCAACTCTATGTCACAGGCACATGTGCATATATGGGGTGCATCATACCACAGGTACAGCACCAAACTGGCTGGTGCATCCAACTGAAGTGGTGCTTAGGAAGAGCCTCATTCCAGCAGGGGAGCTGGGATTATGCCACTGTGAGGCATGAAATAATGTGGAAGTGTTGACATTACTGCAGGGCTGGTTGTCTGGGGTGCACTGGCACATCAGGATCAGCATGTGCTCACCTCTACTCTGTGCTGTCAATAGCCCTTGAGACTTTTTATCTTCCCCACGTCCATATGCTGTCCCAGTGTGTCCATGGCAAAGATGTGCACTTTCAGTACAATGCTATATTGGTGCAGCTTAGTTTTCCATTCCCTTTGAGCCTCCTTTGCCTTTCCCACAGCAGTGTCCTTCTGTTTTCCAGTTATTACAGCCTTTATGTGCTGAGATCCCCTAAGTGGTGGCTTTTTGGATTAGGTGACCCTTGAGTCAGGCATTGAACAAAGCAAGGAAGAACCTGCTCTCAGGTCAGTTACAATCTCACTGTCTTTCAGTTTCTGAATTCTGTAGGTGACTGGAAATTCTCCAACGCTTTTACATCTAGGCATCATAGGGCAAGATCTTGAAAGCCTTAAAATGGGGGGACATCCTATCTCACAGGTAGTTCTTGCCATCACCATCAGGCTATTGCAGCAGTTAGCTGCAGCATGAGATGGAACACCCATGTCTCTCCTGCCTTTTTCTCTTCTTTGCTGCTGCTTTTTACTTAAGAATACAGTTTGAGTGACAACTAACCTCTCTTATTCACCTGTTTGGGACTTAGGAAAAAAATGCTGCTTTTTTTTTTTTTTGGCATGCATTTACTTGGTCATTGCATTCTTGCAAACTGTGACCAGGTCTGAAGTGGAATTCCCATTTCTCAGCTGGCCAGCAGAGAGAGCAGTCAGCATTTGGGACGTGCAGGTT